TATTATTTTTTTTTAATTCTGTACTTTTCTTATACTCCATAGTGATGATAACCAGTGTTGTTGATTTTTTTGTTTTGTTTTGTTTAAGTATTTATTTATTAATGTATAAGAATTGGAGGACAGGCCAGAGGTGCGGGGTGGTGAAAGGATTCACCAGAGACAGAGTGGGGAGCAGAACAGGCTGATCAACAAAGTACACTGGTGAGGGGAGCAGTGGGCAGGTGAGGAGAGGTCTGCCACACCATGTAGGTCACCTTCGGGGCAGGGATCGAACTCGTGAGGTGGCTGTGGCTGGCTTCATAGTGCTGTGTTCCAATGCGTTGTGCCACCAGGGAGGGCCCTCAAAAATGATTTAATGAAATGTGGGTGGGAGCCAAGTTTCTAGGAGTGAGTCTGTAATGGTCAGTTATATGTGTCACAGGCTGGTCAGCTATTAGCTGAAACATTATTCTGGGCATACCTTTTGGTGTTTATGGTTAAGATTAACATTTAAGCCAGCGGACTGAGGAAAGCAGATTGCTCTCTCCATTGTTTGTGAGCCTTAGCTAATCCAAAGGTCTAGCTAGAGCAGTAGAGCCAAAAATAGATCTGAGCAAGAGAATTCATGCTTTCTGCACATGGTGGTCCTCAAGCTGGATATCGCTCCTGGGTTACCTTCTTAGACTCAGATCATGACTGAATCTGACTATAGAGGCACTCAGGTCTTTGACTCACCCTGTAACCACTCCCTCTGCTCGTCTGGTCTTGCCCCTTGTCTAACTCATGATCTCTCAGCTTCTGTAAAGGCGTGAGCCAGTTTCTTATAATCCACTTTTTTCCCTTTATCTTTATCTATATGTACCTATTATAAGTGCTCATTCTTTAGAAAATTTAACTAACATGCACATATTCTGAAATTTGACAGTATTGTTCAGATTATGCAAAGGACTCAGTCAGAAATCGTGGGCTTAGAGGTTTGTGAATATAGAAACTGTCTAGCCAACCCATCTTCCAGGCCATGCGCATAACTCTGCTATCTGTTTCCATCACCACAGGTCTTTCTCTGACTCGGGCCCTCTGTCTCCCACCAACACTTAATGAGGCTCAGGTGATTCTAACGAGCACACCTGGCTAACCCAGGATAATCTCCATGTTTCAAAGTGAACTGAGTAGATGCCTTGATTGCATCTACAATCTGAGTTCCCCTTTGATTTATAAGGTAACATACTCCCTTGCTTCTAGGATTAGGACTTTGACTTCAATGAATGGTACCACATCTTTGACAGACAATTATTTTCCTTGATTTCTGGGTGAAGAGGATCTATACCCAAACAGGATGTAGATCATGAAATCTAGAATTCAAAAATAATGCTGTAATTGAGTGAGCCATCTGGAGATGCTCAGCTAGGAGATTATTTTAAAAATGGGAGGAACCTGGAATAATTTCACCAAGAAAGTAAAAGGGGTAGAGCATCTTATTTTCTTGAAAATGGATTATCCTCCCTGGAGATGCACCTTTTGGGAAGTAATTTTGTAATAGTTGCCAAACATGGCCAAGATGACTACCTTGCCCTTTTGCTCTGAGCTAACTTATGTCAATTTACTTTGATAAATCAGAAATTACTTTGATAAACACAAAGGCTGGGCCAACGTTGGCATTTGATAATCACCATGAAAATAGGCCAAAGCTAGAACTGTTCCCAGGAGAAGACACGAGACTTCCGAGTAAGTTGCCCCAGGAAGAGCCATCCTAAATTGCATATTGGTCAAATTAACTGGCTTCCAGATACAATGAAGTACATTAAAAATCATTCAAACTATAGTTCCCTTTCTACCTATCCTTTATTGCTGACTTTAATGATATTTTCTATGGTGTTTGGTTTCCTGTAGAGTTTCTAAGTTAAACTGCTTTTGTTATCTAAATTTTGATTACTCTTTAAGTGAATGAATTTAAATTTTATCACCAATATTGCATTTTCTATATTCCAGAACTCTTGGGGTATGTTCGACTTTCTGGCTGTGAACTTCAGTCTCTTACCCTCCAGACTTATTTTCAACTCTTTATTATCTCTTTATGTTTCATTCTGGGTATTTATCTTCTAGATTGACTAAGTCTCACTTCCCTAGTCTAATTGGTAACTAAATTAGTGTGGTTGAATTATTCTTAATTTTCTTAATCTTATTGTTTGTGTGTTATGAACATTGTTTTGCTCTTCTTCTATAAGTCTTTTTTTTTTAAGATTTATTTATTTATTCATACAGAACTGGGGTACAGGCCAGAGATGCGGAGGGTGAGAGGCTTCACCAGGGACAGAGTGGGGAGCAGAAAAGGCAGATTGATGAAGTACACTGCTGAGGGGAGCAGCGGGCGGGTCAGGAGAGGTCTGCTGCGCCATGTGGTCACCTCCGGGGCAGGCGGGGGTTGAACTCATGCGGAAGTGGCTTTAGTTTCTCAGTGCAGTGCTTTAACCCGCTGCGCCACCAGGGAGGGCCTAAGTCTTTTTTTTTTTTTTTAAAGGTTTTATTTATTTATTCATACAGAACTGGGGTACAGGCCAGAGATGCGGAGGGTGAGAGGCTTCACCAGGGACAGAGTGGGGAGCAGAAAAGGCAGATTGATGAAGTACACTGCTGAGGGGAGCAGCGGGCGGGTCAGGAGAGGTCTGCCACGCCATGTGGTCACCTCCGGGGCAGGCGGGGATCGAACTCATGCGGAAGTGGCTTTAGTCTCTCAGTGCAGTGCTTTAACCCGCTGCGCCACCAGGGAGGGCCCGGCCTAAGTCTTTTTTTATGGGGAAATGGTATGAAATACTCAGAACACTGTTTAAAAAAAAAAAAACAAAAACTATTTTATGATAGTATTAACAACAACAACAAAGTAACAATCCCCACTTTTCCCAAACTGTAGTCACAGCATAAGTAAAACCAATGTCTAGTCTCTTTTCCCCAAGTTGCAAGGATCTGGAATGCATGTGGTGAGTAGATTTTCTCGAATGGCAGCTCCTTTCTCTGGTCATCAGTGTAGGCTTTCCTAGGCAGATCTCAGTCTCAAAACAGTCAATCAAATTCTAACACGTCAATCACAGGGAGACCATCGTATTCCTTGACATTGTTCAGTAGTCCCTTTACTTTTATTCTATTTCTAATGTGCCTTAACTCTGTGATTTCAAGATCATATATAAAACATTTGCTCATGTAACACATTTCAAATGAAAATACTCTCAATCTCTAAATGTATTCAGTTTGCCTTGAAGTTTTTCGTTTCCTAGTCTAAGTTACCCATAATGATCTTTAAGGAACTACTTAGCTATGTCCAATCTATGTTTGTGAGCCTTTCAAATAGAAATCATGACATGAGGAATATAATGATGAGGAGGGGATGAGGAAGATGAAGGCAAGTAAATGGGAGGTTGGGTGTCTTTAGTAAGTTTTCTAAGTGGTGCAGATCACTGTCTTTAAAAAAAACTATCAGTCTTCTCCATGCTCTTATGACATTTTTATTGACATTCTCAGCATTAGGGCTAGCTTGAGAGTACAGTCACCTGCCAGTTATCAGTGCTAATTTAAAACCAGCATATTTCTTGATAATTCATTTGCTACTTTTCCCCCTTTTTTCACTCTATAAACTAAGCTAAAAGTAACTTCAAACAGTGCTTAGCATTTACAGTATTTGCATATGGATGTATCCATACCCTCTTTAGAGTACATAGTCTCATATTCTCATAGCACAATTTGCAAGCAAATTCTCCACCTGCTTGTTTGCATTCCCAGCTGTGGAGATTCAATGTTTGTTTTATTACGTAACCAAAGTAGCACTACAAATACACAAACATAAGCAAACATTACACTGAATATTTTGCTTTAACAAATATACCTAATATATCTAATTTTCTCTTCTCTATCAAGAAAATAACTAATTTACAGATCTCAATTTGTATTTTTCATTGCTGTATAGTCTTCTGTTGTATCCAATGCTGTGATTGATTTATCCGTATTAACAATGATGGACAACTGTATGATTTCTTAGTGTCAGCTATAGGAACAATAGTTACTTGAACATTTTTGCAAGTATTTCCTGGCATGCTCATACTGAAGATTCCCTACTCCATAACTATAGGAATGAGATTAATGAGTGCTAGGATATATTTCCCCACCTTAGTCATATGTTTTCATTCTGTTGCACTGTTTGTTTGTTTTTTTTAACAATAATTATATGAGTATGTAAGAAAATCCCCATTGCTTCATATACTTTCCAAAATTAGTAATACCAGACTAATATTTGCAACTTTTATTTATATAAAATATCATTACACATTACTACACTTTACATTTTATAATTTTTTTCCTATTCAAAATTCAAATTCAGGGCCTCCCCGGAGGTGCAACAGGTTTAAGTACAGCACTGTGAAGCTATCCACAGCCACTGCACCATAAGTTCAACCCCCTGCCAGAGATCTCACCCACATGGCACAGCAGACCTCTCCTGCTGCTCCCTCAGCAGTGTATTTCAGTAGATTTGGCTGTTCTACTTCCCCACTGTCTCTGGTGAATCCTCTTACCCCTGTACTTCTGGACTACATCCCAGTTTTTGTATACATAAATAAGTAAAACTTTTTTAAAAATTCAAATTTATCACTAACTCAAAAAAAAAATGACTGATTTTATATACAGTTGCTTACATTATAGATGTTAGCATATGCCTGCAAATAAAAATACAGATAGTGCACATATTATGTGTATTGCATACCTGTTTATTAATGTGCCGTTATATAATTATATAACCTTTGTTTTTTATGTCTTGTATTTCTTTTGTAGCCAAGAAATATTATTGCAGATATATTTCCATTAAGCAAACATTGTATCAGCTCATAACATTAGTTAAAAGCTTATTTTCATGGAAACTTTATTACTGTTTGAAACACCCAATGAACATCTGGAAAGTAGTGTTAAAATTGAAAATGAACCTATCAAATCTTCTATGACAATATTTTCCCCAAGAATACAGAGACTTCTTTCCAATACTATGAAGCTAAGGGCTTTGCTATTCCTCCAAAAAACTTAAGATGCCACAATAATCTTGAGGCAACCTGCCTTAGTTTGCTGTTTTCAAAAATTATGATAAATGAGTGACCAGAGAGAAAAGTACTTGAAAACATCACAAAACACATCTTGGCCCAAAACCTATGTATCTTAAACACATCCCAGCTTGCTAATAGAATGGAGAAAAAGTAGATGACGCTGAAGAGGAGGAAGGTCATCACCATTGTCATGGCCCTTTTGTGGGCCTCAGTGCTGGGGTCCCGGGAACCCACACAGCCGCGCCGCAAATTCCTGGTGTGTCTCACCAAGGACAGAAATAAAAGGACCAAGGAGATCAGGGACAGGAGAAAGGGGATAACATAGGTCATGCTAAGGAGGATCAGGCTTCTCAGGTAGGCAGGATGATTTGCATCCTCACACACAGTGGCATTTCTTTCTTGTCCTCTATAGGAGAGCATCCAGAGCTCAGTGAGAGCATCCTGCAGGAGGGCGTCTGCGCACAGGAAAGACAAGGACCCCAGGAAAATGACAAGGACCACTCTGTTCATTCTCCACTTCAGCCAGAGGAAAAAGAAGTGGGAGAAGGTGGCGATCTTCAGGAGGTACAACACGCTGAGGCAGGTGGCTGCCCAGGTAGCTAAGTGATTACTTAGTGACCAGAGCAAAGTCACCACTCTTGCTGCCGTACCAGAGCCATACATGAGGGGAAAGAGCCCCACGATAAATGAGTCCAGTAGTGTTACCCCCAGTTGAAGGATTCTGGCCGCAGCCAAGCTGGTCAGGATGAAGTCAGCTGCTGAGATCTTGCCCTTCTTGACCCACTCCCTGCAGTGGACCAGCGCAATGAACCCATTTCCCAGCATCCCTAAGGTGATTTCCCCTGTGATCAGCACCAGGAAGGAGGCCTTCGCTGCAGTCCACATTGCTAGGAAAGTGTCTCCACTGTCGTGTCTCGCTGAAGGCTTGCTAGTTAAGCAGAAGCAGGTCTTCACCCATGCATGCTGCTTTCTGTGTCTGTGTTCATCCGCCTCTGCAAGGACAGCCCAAGCCCTGCATTCTGCTGGTTCCACAGAGCTGCACAAAGGACGGTCAAGCTACCGCTAAGGTAATTCTAGCGCCACGCCCAACAGTTGTGCTAAAAGACGCAAAGTATCATGAACACCTTTCTTATCACTCATAGCCAGCTACTAAGTGAAGTCCAGAGTCCTTGCTAATGATGCCCTCTTGTGCTGGGCACCAGCTGCAATTCCTACCTGTGCAAATGAGCAGACGGCTGAAGACAGGTATGTCAACATGCAAATATGAGCGCTGTTTTCCACAAGTTTATACTTTTGTCTCCCATGAGTCATATCTTTGCATGCAAATACTCATGCTTTTGAATAGAAATTGCTAGGCAAAAGAATGTTTTATAATTGCATTATGTGTCAGTCATCAATAAAATCCTTCTGTCTATAAAGTATTTTTGTTGATTCAACATGATTTATTATTAACTCAATATTGTTTCCACTTTAAGGAGAACTCCCAGGTTCTAGAAAAAAAACTATAAATAATTTATGCATAATATTGTATTGTTAAGTCAGAAAGAGTAAGCAAAATATACTGACTGCACAATATAGTTGTAACGCAGGACAAATTATGAATTTATAAAAATAGGGTCATTTAGTGGAACTTAATCCTTTATAATTTTTGAAGAAACATGAAAAGTATTTAACACTGATGCAAGGGCATGGGCATAGTATCCTAGGGCGACTAATAATCTTGATGCGTTATGGAAGGACATCTTTAATTTTACAATAACTTTTTTTTAAGATTATTTATTTATGTTTGCAAGAACTGGGGTACAGGTCAGAGGTGTGGGGGGTGAGAGATTTCACCAGAGACAGAGTGGGGACAGAACAGGCAGAGTGACTGAAATTCACTGCTAAGGGGCGCAGCCAGTGGGCGAGAGAGGTCTACTTCACCATGAGGGTCACCTCCCTGGCCAGGGATGGAATGCATGTGGCAGTGGCTGTGGATAGCTTCACAGTGCTGCGCTTTAGCCCATTGCACCACCAGGGAGGGCCCTAAGATAATTTTTTTTATTGTCTGTGGGAATTGAAATGATGCTAAGTGCCCTCCCGATTCCATATTCTCTTCTTCTTTCTTAATGATAAAACGATATGTTCTGGGCTCAGGAGTTTTTCACATGAGTGGAAACTGTGCAGTCTTCCAGATCTGTGCAGTGAAAGTCTTCGTGCTCACTCGCACTTGTACGAGCCTCCTGACTATCTGGGAGCCACAGGGTAAAGAGTTTATTTTTTTTTTAAAGATTTATTTATTTATTCGTACAGAACTGGGGTACAGGCCAGAGATGCAGAGGGTGAGAGGATTCACCAGACAGAGTGGGGAGCAGAACAGGCAGATCGACGAAGTACACTGCTGAGGGGAGCAGCAGGCTGGTCAGGAGATGTCTGCCGCACCATGTGGATCACCTCTGGGAGGGGATCGAACTCATGCGGAAGTGGCTTAAGCTTCTTAGTGCAGTGCTTTAACCCGCTGCGCCACCAGGGAGGGCCCAGTAAGGTTTATTTTTAAACAGCCTGATTCCTGTGATAACTGCCTGGGAAGGTTCTCAGACACCCTATTTTCAGACATACGTTCGATGTACACTACAACTGATTTCTAAATAAACAAAATTAAATTGATGTTGGGTTTGTGTTACTGTGTGTCTTGAGCCTAGGAGGCACAGCACCGAGACCTCCCACATGGTGATTGGAACTTAGAGTGTGCAAATGCCATTTATTGGCATTTGAATGGTGAAGAAATAAAAGCAGGCTATCCATACAACATAGAGTTTGTGATGGATTTGATTTTTTTAATCGTATTTTCAGCGCTCATATAGTTTGTGCATCCATTTATTAGTCACCAGACTTGCAATTCCACCAACTCTTCCACAGGCTGACTTTATAGCCTAAGGTGTCGGCAGGGGAAAAAGTAGACATATCCATACATTATGATGCTAACATTGCTGGCGGTGAGAGATGAATAAAAATAAATGAAAATCAGATGTGAAGTTGCTTTCTCTTCATTTGGATTATGCTAAAATTTCATAAGAATTATATGTGAAAATTAAGTTGTTGAATACATTTGTATCTCAGAACTGCTAACCATCCTATGTCAATGCATAATTTCATTATTGTCTGCAATTTATAGTAAAACAAATGTGCAATGTGTTGCCTCTAATTATTTCATAGACATCATAGATATCGCTTTAATAGATGCAGAAATGTCATTAAATGATATACCCATGTGTTTACTAATTTGATATTGAACACATATTTAAGTTTGGGAATATCCAGTTTTCTCATCTGAAATTTAAAAGGAATTTTTTTGGTAGCAAGAAGGAGGAGGCAATTGGTCATTTCGAGATATAAAGGATATAAAGGAGGTTTAGGGAGAAGTGAGTAATTTGACATAAGATCTCACTTCCAAAAAAGATCTTCTTAGTTCAAAAAGTGGACAAATGGACAAAATGTCTTCCCTACCTGTACATGAACACAATACCACTGACAATCATCTTCCTTTCTTCATCCTTCTTGTTGAACTTGATCTTTTTTTTCTGAGTTTTTTGCCCATTTCCATGAAATCTGATAATTTTCCATGAAATCTGTGTGTATATATATATGTATTATGTAAATATAAATAATGTAGTGTAAATGTTTGTCAGTCTCAAATTTTATTGTTTGCAACATTTCTTGAAAGAAGTTCCTATTGTTCTTTTTTTTTTTTTAAAGATTTATTTATTTATGCATACAGAACTGGGGTACAGGCCAGAGGTGCAGGGGCAGTGAGAGGATTCACCAGAGACAGAGAGGGGAGAACAGGCAGACTGATGAAGTACACTGCTGAAGGGAGCAGCAGGCTGGTCAGGAGATCTCTGCCGCACCATGTGGATCACCTCTGGGGAGGGGATCGAACTCATTCTGAAGTGGCTTTAGCTTCTTAGTGCTGTGCTTTATCCACTGCACCACCAGGGAGGGCCTCCTATTGCTCTTTTAACCATAAAGCAAGAATTCATGATGGACTAGCAACTGTCCCCAGCATGTGTCCTCAATGTGTGATTGAAATTTGACCCCTTGTGATGCAAGGGTTAAGTCTCAGTGCTATCAAGCTACTGCAGCCACTGCAGCATGAGTTCCATCCCCAGCCAGGGAAGTGACCGACATGGTGCAGCAGAACTCTCCTGTCTCACCCACTGCTCCCCTCAGCAGTGTACTTGAATCAATCTCCCTTCTGCTCCCCACTCTCTCTCTGGTGAATCCTCCCACATACATACCCCTGCACTTCTGTCCTACCCCCCAGGTCTTATATAAGCAAACAAACCTTAAAAAGAAAGGAAATTGATCACTGTGACCATCCAAGACACAGGAGACAGTGAAATCTGCATACATGGTGGAACTAATGACAATGCACTGTAGCAATGGCTTCTTGAGATAAGTTGCTTGTTATTAAAAATGCAGGTAAATCTAAATTATTTTATTAGAAGATGAAACATACAATATGTATGTGAAATACACATGACTTTATGATTCTAAGAAATGTCTTCCAAAGTTCTGTAACTGAGGTTGCTACCCCCCAAAATTGGTTAACAATATGTTGATCTTACCATGTTATATTTTTATAAACACACATACACATGTAGATAAAAGACTCTTCTGCCTAAATCTTTGGAAAAGACTTAGTTACATACACATGAGAAGCAGCAGCAGGAGTATAAGGTGTTAGACACCAGTTTGCTCTCTGCACGAAGATCTGGAGCTCCCACCGGCTTCCTTTCCTCCAGCCAGCGTCTCAGCTGCCTCAGGAGTGACACACAGACCTGCTTTAGCTGCTGGTTGCCCCAGATGAAGATACCTGAGTGGCTTGAAGGATACAGGTTCCAAGTGTCTTGCAAAACAGAAGGACCAGTTTGCTTCGCTGCCAAGTAAAATTCCAAATGGAAGTGATTTGAATCAGAACATAACCAGCAAGTAGCAAGAGAAAGGAGACCACGGTCTGCATGGCTGTGCCTACAATCCTGTGCCTCTGAGCTACGTCCTCTTGAACTGTTTCCATAGGGAGAAAAAAATCAACAGCAGAAAAGACATCAGAGACATCACACAGGGTATGAAGTTTACCAGTGTGAATAGAGTCGTGGAGAAAGGCTTGCTCTGTGCCTCAGGTGATCCTCCGACCATGTTCCCTTCATACTCACATATTTCATATTCTCAAGTACACTTACCCCTGCAAGACGAGGAAACAAAAGGAAAGCACTCCCCAAGAGTACTGCAGAAAGCACATTTTCACTCTCACTTTAGGTAAAGAAATACAAGACTTGAGAAATCAGGTAGCTTGGAATAAATTCTGCCATAACTAGGGTGGAAAGAATATTCAGCAATGACATTATCATGTCGAGAAAAAACAAAAAGTCAAGTCTAAAATCACTGGTATTTATTTCCTGACTTAAGTTCTATGTGCCGTGCAACTGATTTCCAAATACGCAGTGAAGTCCTGGCTTCTTTCAAATTCTGTGACCGGTGCCAGCAGGAAAACACAGGGTGTGCAGACAGACAGGTTCAGTGCTGTCTTCACAAAAATATTTATGTTCTCTAATAGTTCAGACTGACTCCTAGTCTCACCCTGCAAATTCTTGTCTACTCCTTGTCTACACTAGCATATTGCAACACTGACTGAATTGGAAACCTGTTCTCATTTGAGAAGAAGCAAATAAAGATATATTGTTTTGCAGTTTTCCCCTTGTTTAACCTCTCCACAGTTTGCGTTCATCAACCTAGTTTATAACATACAGAGAATGTCTAATTTATTAATTGGAGCATGATCATAAATAGGTTCATTATTAGCTCAAATTTATTAACACCAGGTTAATGTAGAAAGAACCTGTTTTCCTATCAAAAGCAGTCAAGTTTTTTTGGAATCAAGGCCAATACTTGCTCAAAGCTGCTTGTTGGTAACTAATATTCATCGATAACTTATTGTTTGCAAGCTCATGCACACACACACATTTCATGGATGAGCTAGTGTGCTATGTAGTATGTATTCCATGTCAGGGAGGTCATTAGGCTTGAGTCCTCTCATATCTAAGTTTTTCAACCCACTGTTAGGAGTTATCAAACATAGCTTTTGTGCTTACCACTTTGATAAACTTTCTCATTTCAGTCTATTTTAATATTTAACCATTAATAATTAAAATATCCAGTAACTTTGTAAATGTACCAGGTTATTAAAAAAATATGGTTTTCATGGCAGAACCTAGACTTGTCCACATGATCATTCAGATTTGTATTTTTGCTTAAGTCACTTTTTTTTCTTCTTCTTTTTGGTTAGTAGCTGTTTAACTCAGCTGGATTTCAACCAGCTTCAGTCTTTACAGTACACTTGTTTTCATCATAGATTGCCACCTGGGGAAAACCAGCCCTCTGCTTCACAAGTCTCCGGTCCTCATTGTTCATATCACTATTGACCTGCTCCAGATGATTATCAGTAAAATTCAGGTTTCTATTTGAGTGGTCTTTGGAGGAGTTAGTATTCTCCTCGGGTAAAGTGCTTTCAGTTTTACCTGTTTGGTTCTAAGGCTCTGAGGACTGTGACTTGCTCATTTCTCCATATGCTATTTGAAGCTTCACAGTGAGAACTTCCACCTGGGAGCAGAATGTAGCAGATTGTAGAATATACAGTCTTCTCTTTAATCAGGTCCAGGGAAAGAAATTGCTCCACGTATAACTAAATTCATAAGAGAGCTGTGAAAGAAGAGAGTCAACTGAACTGAAATTCAGCAAGAGAGCTATCCCAGCAGCTCTTTGTACTGAAACCATTCTTAAAGTGCACACGCGCGCGCACACACACACACACACGTGGGTGTGTACATGCATGCACAGTAAGACAAGTGTCCAGAGGGTTGAATTTTTTTTAAAGGCCAAAGTTGAAAGATCACTGTTCTGCATCAAAGCTTACGATTAATCAAGATGGTATGGTAGTTTCATTAAGATAGGGAGCCAAGGCCCTCCCTGATGGCACAGCCGGTTTAAACACAGCACTAAGAAGATATAACCACTTCAGCATAAGTTCCATTTCTGCCAGGGAAGTGACCCACATGGCGCCATGGACCTCTCCTGATCCACCTGCTGCTCCCCTCAGCAGTGTACTTCGCCAGTTGGCCTGATCTGCTCCCCAATGTCTCTGTTGAATCTTCTCACTGCCCCTGTACCTCTGACCTGTACCCCAGTTCTGTACACATAAATATTTAATAAAAATTAAAAAAAAAAAGATAGGGAGGTAGATAGATGATGGTTGGATTGATAGATAAAAATGAGATATGGCCCTCCCTGGTGGCGCAGCGGGTTAAAGCACAGCATTGAGAAGCTAAAGCCACTTCCGCATGAGTTCGATTCCCGCCTGCCCCGGAGGTGACCACATGGCGTGGCAGACCTCTCCTGACCCGCCCGCTGCTCCCCTCAGCAGTGTACTTCGTCGATCTGCCTGTTCTGCTCCCCACTCTGTCTCTGGTGAAGCCTCTCACCGCCCCGAGCCTCTGGCCTATACCCCAGCTCTGTATGCACAAATAAATAAATCTTTTTAAAAAAAATGAGACATAATTGAAATGAAACAAAGAGTTGAAGTTGTGTTCTTACCAAAAAATTAGAAGTGAGGTGATACATTAATTTGCTATCATAGTCCTTTATATATATCATTACATGCTTTTAATATATTACTAGGCAATTTATGCCTCAGTAAAAGGGAGAAAATGAGTTGAAATTTAAGGCTTCTTTGTCCTTGACCCATAAATAACTGCAGAGAGCAGGCTAAGTGGGCTACTACTCTCCAGTTGTATGGTGAAGTGGAAACAATTGAAAGTACAAAACAATGTGTACCGTGTATTATTTATTATCTAAGAAAGGGGAGAAGCTCTAAAAGCTAACTTTTTAAAATGGTTACCTATTTGGAAGGAAACAGAGGGGAGGACAAGAGGCTTGATTCCTTGGATGGTTTTGACTCTGGCATCATGGGGAATAGTGGAAGAGTCCACATAGTTGGAAGTGGAAAATTGGGGGCTTGTTGGGGACCTGCCCCAACTACTGATCTGTCGGGAGGAGAGACAGGCAGGGCCCTAAGGCGGGCATGACGTTAGTGAGCAGATATTCCAAAATGGGGAGCAATCCCAGTCGGGAGTCAGAGTTGGGTGCAAGTCTTTCTGCTCTGGTCTCAGCTGGGGCTTAATGTGACTCAGTACATCTAGTATGTCTTCCATTAGCATAAGTTGCACTTGTACTGAAACCATCTCCTGATTCCCATTCACCTTGCACTAACTACTCTTAGGTCCGCCAGTATTTCAGGTCACTGAAGTGATCTGCTGGCATTTCTTCCAAGGGCTGTCTAGTTGCTGGGGTAGTACTGATATTGCAAAGTATCTAAAGAAATTCTAGTGAGCATCACACAAACTAAGTTTTATAAATTTCCCAACATTATTTGTGCAAATCTTATCAGTAGATGTGGAGAAACAGAAGTTCTTTAGGCCACATTAATTTTGCTCTGAACAATACATTTATTTAGTGCAGGGGTTAGTGTGGAAAATTTGAACAGTGCTTTTCCAAATTCAGATAATGATCAGAAGTCACTCTCAGAATAATCCACGTTTGTACAGGTTGTCTATGATGAAAACTACAGCACCACCAGCGAAAACAAGATTAGAAAAGGTAAGGAAATGTCTATCATTTAAAGTGTAGGTGGTTATCCAGTATGATGTTACCCTAAGTGTATTTGGGGTATGGAAGCTGATGTTACAATTTCCAGCCTTTGGACCTTAAGTCATAATTTCACGTGTGTCTCCTTGCAGAAATCAGGTTTCCATATCTAATCTGGATTTTTCATGAGTTTACATGGGGAGTGAGAATTTGATATTGCGATTATGCACTGGGGGAAAAAAATGAAAAGAACTTGCTTAACGTGCAATTTCTGCCACAACCTAAAAGAGCCCTAAAACATAATAGAATGTGCCCAAATCTGTACATCTTGTTCTACTATTAAAGCCAATGTCACAAAATCAAAATGGCAAGGCACCTGCCTGAAATCCCGGTTTTACTGCAGGCGGACAATGTGCCTTAGTGCAAATGATACCATTCACTTGGCTTCATTTCTTTAACGTACCGTGCAAAATCACGCCTGTAAGGCTGCCCAAGCGTTTTACTAAATACTACTAAGTAACACGCAGGCCATTTATATAAACCCGCTCGGGGGCTACTACGTGTTAAGCGCTAAAGGCTAAATATCATTTGAGCAGCGGACAGGAAGAGGCGGGGCGCCCGCGGCTGCCAGGGGCTCAGCGCCGCTGGGGAGTCGGCGGCGGCGGCGGCGTTAGGCGCGCAGGTCTCCGGGAGCCGCAGCCACATAGCCCCAGCCCGTCCCGGACGACGTCCGGGGTCTGCTGGGACCCTCGGCTTCAGGAACTGAGCAGCGGCGACACCGGGTCCATGGCCACCGCGGCGGCTCCGTCTTCGCTGGCGCTCCGGGCCTGCAGCCCTGCCGCGGCCCCCAGCTCGTACGGGGTCTTCTGCAAGGGGCTCTCCCGCACCCTGCTCGCCTTCTTCGAGCTGGCCTGGCAGCTGCGCGTGAATTTCCCGTACTTTTACATCGCGGGCTCCGTGCTCCTCAACATCCGCCTGCAGGTACACTTCTAGTGCGGAGACTTCGCCGCTGCCATTGCGTAGGATCATGGCGGACTCCCAGGAGCCCCGGCGCCGCGGAGGTCTCGCGAGAGTGCTGGGCGTGGCCCGCGGCTGCGCACTCGGTCCTCAGCCGGACTCCGGGGCCGTCGCGGGGTCCGGGCAGGGCTGGCTGCTAGAAGTGCGTGAACTTGGTTCCGGCCACTTGTGTACAGAGACTCACGCCCGTATTTAAGCCGAACGTTCTTAAAAACTGGACGAACAGACTGCATTATTTTAGAAGAAGAAAGACTGTACAGATATTCAGGGAAAAAACTTATGTACAACAGGCTCAAGGTCCAAATTAAATGAGTGTCGGGACTTGGTTTGGATCGGATTGTAAGCAGACACTGAATAAGAAGCCGCAGATCTTCGGGGTTGGTTGGGAAAGTCATCTCTTCATTCCTCCGGAGGAAACAGTGACAGAAACTTTTAGGGAAAACAACGCAAAGACGGTACAGGAGTCGCATCCTTCAGATATCAATTTTTGAACCGAGGGTTGGGTTTTGAGAGGGTCGGAGGGTAAGAAAGTGGACTTTTGCGGTGTCCCTGGGAGTAGCACAAACTGCAGACCCAGGAGCCAAAGACAAGGCAGCTCAGTCTTAAGCACACAGCAGGGCTGTTTGGTGGATAACATTAGATATTCATCATAGTGTAAATGCTGTTTATGGTTTTCACCTTTTTAAAAGAATTATGCTTACAAAATAGAATGCAAGTGACATCAGCCTTTGCAAAGTAAAAGTAGACTTTGCTGGTAGTGACCTTGAAAGGGGAGTGGTGAGAAGGTGAAAGGGTCTGTAGTTGATGGGGGAGGGGCATCCTATTATTCAACGATAGCCATAAAGTTGCTAAAATAGTAATATAATTACATTTAAAGAGAAAGGAGTAGAGGAGAGACCAGCATGAAAACAACATGCCTAAAGATGGAGAGTTAAATGTCTCAAAAAAATAAAAATAGTAGACTCTCTGGTATGTTTATATGTGAGTCAAGAGGTTTTTAATGTTTCAGAGGTTCTGCAGATAAATTAGTGGCTTGCAGACCTTTTTTTAAATTAAGGAAACAACGCTGAGGCAACTATAAACCCTAGGAAAAGTGAAAGGTTGCCAACTGTGAATAATAATAGCTGTATAAAGCTGGTCATGATTATGGAAACATTGAATACAAATGTAACAAATCCGTAGGTAATTTGGGGACTGGAAAGGAGAGATATGTATAATGGGGGAGACTCAAGATCTACAACAGAAAAGTCAATTAAACTATATATGATTTAGGGGGGAAAACTCAGTTAAAAGTGGTTATCTTGAAGAAAGAAAATCAGGGATGGGTAGAGAAGAGCAGGGACCGCTGCAGCTTTTCACTACCAGACTAGCACTATTTGACTTTTCTTTAAGTAGAAGTTAGTTCAAATAAGTTTCAATTTTTTTTCGAAGTTCTCCAGATAATTCAACTTTACACCATTGGTATGGGTCAGCAGGGTGAAATTGAGTTTTTAAATCAGGGAGATCTCTGTTAAAATATGAACTCTTAATTGTGTAGTCTTGGGTGGGTGATGCCATTCATCTGCCTAAACCGGTTTCCTCCATTAACTGAAGTAAAATGCCCACTTTGAAAGGTGAGGATTAGCCTGCCTTAGTGCTTCATATGACAGTACCCTTCATATGTGAGTAAAACTGAAAACTCTTATGAAATGCCTGTTCTTACAGAGATTTAACGGAGATATGTAGGGTACTGACATGAGCTATGAAGACATTGCAGGAAGATTTTTGGTAAAACATTTGCACAAAGAGTGGCAGTTATTTGCTGCGGTGAAGATTTAAACTATTAACAGTGTTCTATATTACGAATTGTGTCCAACAAAGAAATACACCCCAGGGCCAAATAGCTAGTGCCCACTCCAGCACCATGTCTGGATGTGGGTAATTAATTGTTCTTTCCTTTTCTCCAGCCAGACTATTGAGCACTTTCTACTTATTCTTGCCCGCGCCTTTTTGCCTTTTTTGGCTTCTGGTTACTCATGTTTGCTTGTTCTTTGCTCTGTCATCAGCCTGGAGCATCGCCTAATGCAAAATAGATCATAAAAATTATTGAATGAATGCCAAATTAGTTGTTTTTTCCTACACATAGTAGCTGACATGTCACTTTTTCCATTAAGATTTTCTGAGCTGCCTCTGACCAGAATAGACTTCATTGCTTTTAATCCATCCAAGGACTGTGTCACTTACACTTAGTGGTGCATTCATTATCAGATCGGGAGGGTTTTTTTGATTGGATGGGAGACACATTTCCCAGACTATCATCTCTTCCCGTGGTAATTGCATAGTGCTGTGATTGAGTGCAGAAACTAAAACATCTTGATCTAAAATACCAGAAATATGATTTGATCGCAGTGCCAAGGAGCATACAAACGGGGTGGATGGCATCACTGTTTCCTAAAGCTACTAAAGCTGCATTTGCAACATAAAAGACCCCACCCGTAGCTCCCTTTAAGCTGGCGTGGGGAGATCCAGGTGCTCCTTTTAGGTGGCTGCCTGAAATCTGGTGTTTTCAGCCTTTTTCCTCTTAGCAGTATTTTACTACACCGAAGAAACCTAGGCACTTTATCACTTTATTGAACTTATTTATCATATCCTCCAATTAGATTGGAAGCTCTGTGAGTGAAGATACTGTATCATATCCAATTTTACAACCTGTATATCAGGAAATGTATAGTAGAACCTGAATGAAAGAATGAAGCTCTGTGACTTAACCATTTATCCTTCATATAGTTCTGAAACCTAAGTGTGTGTTTTTCTTCTGATGTGATAGAACTCAATGAACTTTCCCAGCATCGTTGGAAAGCAAGAATTGTGCCCTGACCAGTTATTCTATAATTTGCTAGTTATTGTATTCCTCTTGACATCCTTCCAGGTAACATCCATGAAGTTTCCAAAGACTTTGCTTGTTCTTTGCTCTGTCATCAGCCTGGAGCATCGCCTAATGCAAAATAGATCATAAAAATTATTGAATGAATGCCAAATTAGTTGTTTTTTCCTACACATAGTAGCTGATAAAGAAAATAAAGCTGTGTTTGGGCATGATACTCAGGTCATCCATTTTATTACCCATAAATTGAGCTTTTCTTTTTATTGGTGGAGACGTTTCTCCAACTTGGAGCAAAAAGGTACCATAATTCTGACCTATGAAGAAAAACCTTGTTTATGAAGTTCAACATAAAAATGCTGAGGAATGGTCACTGTGTTATAGTTGAACTATGAAGGGAAATAGGGGTCTTAGTCACACATAACCTAAGAGGGAACATGAATTTTTTTAAATTAAGGGTAAAAATGCATACAGCTGCTTGACTGAAAATGTATTATCACTATCCGTATCACTTTTTAATGTAATAAGTTTTTAATACCATGGGCTACATTGTTTTCATAATTTTCATGTGCTCTCTGAGTTTTTCATACAAGGAAAGTAGGATTTAGCAAGGTTAAATAATTCAGTAATTGCCTGAATGACAATTGAATCTCATTCCTAAGGTAACAATTGATGAGAGAATTTTTTTTAATATATAGCTAAAGCAGAGTGATCCTGTTGCTTTTCTCAACTATAAAGCTAAGTATTTGTTGTATATAGTGGCATTGCCTTTTATATCACAATTACTGAGCACACTATGAGAATATAAATATTCAAGATGTTTTGTAAATTGAAATCTGCCTAGAGTCACAGGCGTATTTGTTGGGGAGAGAGACAGTTCCCCCTCGCTTGGAGGGTTTCCTTCCCTTGCAGCAGAGATCAGTAACTGAAATTTGGAGCTATTCCATCACTGTCCTGGGGTGGCCTGGCTAAATTTCCTATTATATTTTTGCAGTCCTATTTTTAATGGTGGCTTTTCCTAGTGGAGTATCCATAGCATTTGATAGAGCTAGGATTTACACTTGCAAATGTGGGTGAGGTGGGAAGGTTTCAGAACACGTGACTAGAGGAGCCGGGAGTCCCTGATGCCAGAAATTCCTGAGACTGGAAAAAAGTCTGAGGAGTAGATTCAGAGTTGGACTAAGAAAAGGACCTCTGCAGTAGCAGCCAGGATTGCCAACACTTTGGATTGTGTCACAGCAGACTACTCCCATAACCCATTAGCCCTGGCGCCACCAGGGAGGGCCAGCCCTACTCTTCTGTCTTCTTAAGGGATCTGCAACAGACATTAGAAAATCTTGGTCATCCTTAAACTTTCAAGCACAGAGGATCTGGATTTTGTCTGGCTGAGAGAGTGCAGTGCATCAGTGAACACTGGGAGGGAGAACAGAGAAGGATGAGTCATCAGGCTTTTTACGCCTCTAGCCTCTGTGGCTTTCACCTGTGGCCTTGGTGTTAATACAGAAGTCCCGTGAGCGTAGGGCAGCACGCAGCCTGATTGTGGACACCTGGCGGAGGGTGTGGGCCTGCGGACATGTGCACACCTGCGCGTAGAGGCCGGGCTTGTAATGGTGACGTCACTGAGACGGGACAGCTACAGGCATGAGCAGCGTGACTAAGGTGAGCCCATGAGTCCAGGAAAAATAAAGATTTGATGGGGCTGGGGAGGCTCCCCGCTGCCTTGCCAGCCAGCCTGCCGCAACAGGCTCCCTCCTCTCCTGAATTTCTGGAGAGAAAAGAAAGCTCAAAGATTGGCTGGTGGGGCTCTCCAGCCTCCTGGGCCCTAGCCTCCCCCAGCCCCCCCTGCTCCCTGACCTCCCTGCCTGCTCAGTGCCAGGTTACCCTCACAGAGGAGGATTTTTATATCTTGAGTGAGGCAGAGGATTCAAAATGACAAAAGTTAAACCTTCACAGCCAAAAGGCAAAAATCGTTACTGACAAACTCTTCCAAGAATAACTTGACTTTAAAATCAATGCCACAGAATAGAGGTTGTGTCCAACAAAGTAAATAGATGTTTAAGTTGAAAGGAACTCTTCCAAACATTTTAGAATGTTTGATTGATAACAACTTTGACATCATATACTAAATTGGAAAAGGAATATGTTTAACAGATGTGTTAAAATTCAGGTCAGCTTAGGTCTCCAAGAAAGGGAAAAGAAGTTATTTCTAACTCTCTAACATGAACAGGGATAGAGATGCCAATACACAAAAGAGATAATGCTTTGTCTCCTGAAGCTGTGTCAATGCTGGTGTCCCTCAAAATGACTTACTAAACATAGTCCATCTGCCTCCTGTGATCTTTAAATATCCCCCCTCCAAAATAATGTCTTAACTTTTTTTCTGAATTGCTCCAAGACCAATCATCTGGTCCACTTGTGGAATGGAGATTTATCCTGGGATGCCCAGCACAAGACTTCATTTGTGTGGACGACACTGACCAATCTCAGGTGAGTGGACACTGGGAAACATGAGTTTTGCCACGTGATTCTGTATGTCATTTAAGGGAGAACCAGGCCTTAATCAAAACCAGCAGATTAAATACCTAAGCCATCAGATTCCATATTTTCTTTGGGCTCTGATATATTCTTGGATGTTTCCACTACACAATATGATTTCACCACTAAAGTGTCTTTTCTGTTTAAGATCAAGGTCTTGGGCAGAGCTCAAGCCTCCGCTGGCATTAGATACAGGTTATTTGCAACTAGTTTCAGATGTGCGCAAGCTGAGGGGAAGACATAAACATTCTATCAAGACAGTTCACACTCGAATGTTTATTTTGGAGAAACATGATCCACAAGAAAGCAATGGCAGTCGTTTTGTTCCCCCATATATTGGTCCTGTACTAGGATGAAATTCTCTCCAGATCCCAGGGGACTGGCTGTGGGTATGACAGTAGTCATTTCTCCCAGAGCATGGCTTGGGTCTCCAATTCAGGCTTTTGCTATGGAAAGGGGAGGCACAGAATTTAAGCTCAAAAGCCCAATTGATTTATTTATTTTTAAAGACTTATCTATCTATACGTACAAAACTGGGGTACTGGCCAGAGGTGCAGGGGTAGTGAGAGGCTTCACCAGAGACAGAGTGGGGAGCAGAACAGGCAGATTGATGAAGTACACTGCTGTGGGGAACAGCGAGCAGCTCAGGAGAGGTCTGCCACACCATGGGGGTCCTCTGGGGGGGTGGGGGTGTGTGTCGGGGGATGGAACTCACACTGAAGAGGCTGCTGCCAGCTTGCAGTGCTGCGCCCCAGGGAGGGCCCAAAGGAAGACTGCAAAGGCAGCCACCGCAGCCCAGCCCGGCTCTATCCTCTCACAGGTGTTTTCTGAGCTGCTCTCTCAGGGGTGGGCCCTGCTCCCCATATTGTCACGGCAAGGATAGTACATGAGAAGGGAGGCCTGAATCCCAGGGAGGCATTTACTGTTCATCCTCACTCCTAAGAAGCAAGAGTTCATCCCCACTCCTAAGAAGCAAGAGCAAACTTGGCCATGGAAGACAAGTTTGCTAACACTCACACAAAAAAATAAAAATAAAAACTATATTCAGTTTCTCTTAGTATATAAAAATAATCTTTAACATTTTTACTGAAAGGAACACATTCTAATCCAAATTCTCAGTTTCTGAATCTGAGTCACATAATTTGAACTTCGCCTTTCCTAAAGAAAGATGACCCTAGAGACAATCCTTAGAGGATTTCTTACAGTGTCCACCATAAATGCAATTTAAACATCTAGGCGTGGATGTACAGGTATCATGACATGATCGGCATCATCATGGACATATCAGCTCACTACACTAAGAGTACACTGTACAAAATTTTTATGGTTCTTATGTCTTCCCAGCAACAGGTTTGATGAGCTACTCCATCCTAAATACCATCTGTATATTTTCAGCACTCTTTGTGGTCTGCTTTTACCACTGAAAGAGCCTGGCAAACGAAATCCTAGCATGTATGTCTTCAAAATGATCTTTTTTTTTTTTTAAGATTTTATTTATGCATACAGAAATGGGGTACAGGCCAGAGGTGAAGGGGCGGCAACACTAGTGGGGAGCAGCAGAACAGGTAGATGGACAAAGTACACTGCTGAGGGGTGCTGGGGGTGAGCCAGGAGAGGTCTGCTGCGCCAGTTGGTTCCCTTCCGGGGGGGGGTTGGACTTTGGGTTGAGGCGGCCCCGGTTTGGTTTCCGGGGGCGGGGTTGCCCGGAGTGCCACCAGGGAGAACCCACAATGATAGTTTTAAAATATGTTTATGTTACTTATAAATCCATTTATAAGTTATAAAGCTAGTACAGCACAAGCTATTTTATTCAAAGTTGTAATATTGTTAGCAAGCATAATCTTACCACTTAGTACTAAATATAAAGGCACAGACTTGTCTAACACGTACACACATAGGCAATACTTTCTTGCAAACTTTCCTTTCCTTACCTCTGGCAAGTCAGTTGTGTTTGTCTTCTCTGACAAGGGACTCTAGTAGCATCATATAATTATACAGACAGACACACCACAAAATTGATATCAACATATGATTTTGATCCTTGCAAAGTAAATATGTACTATTATGCACTTAGGATCACTTTTAATTGTTCAATTTTCTTTTATAAATTTAGTTAATTGTTCTCTTTTTCTACAAGGGTAGAGTGAGTTCTATTATAGCTTGGATTTTTAATGATAGTCGACATTATTTTCAAGGATTTTGTAATTCTTTGAAGTCCCTGGGTCGACCATAACTCAAGCCTTCATTTTATGAAACTGTGGGAAGAGGAATATGCTAAATAATAAAGTGAGGTTTAAAAAAAAGAAGATAATATTCATCATGCTATTTCAAACACTTTTTTGATTTTTTAAAATGATTGAAATAGCATTGTGTTTTAAGATTCATATTTCTTAAAAGTTGTATCTTGTTACAAGGTGAGGTGCTACCAGCACTTTTTCTCTTTGGTTTATTTTAACTTAATGTGCAAGTACTCTACCTATTCAAACTTGGAAGCAATTGTCATTTCTAAATAATCATGTTATTTTCTCACATATGAATTAAATAAATGTTTGCCAGCACCTATAACATTTATGTGTGTGTATGTGTGTGTGTGTGTATATATATATAGTAATGTATATCTTATATTTAGTCATATTTCTTGTTACCAGCAAGTTATAAAATGACACCAGTATATATATATATATATATAGTAATGTATATCTTATATTTAGTCATATTTCTTGTTACCAGCAAGTTATAAAATGACACCAGTGCTTGCATTCTGAAAACAACAGCACAATGTCCCCGGCAGTGTGAGTGGATTTTTAGTTTATAGGCAATTCTAGGGAACATCTGTGAAAGAATCCAGTGAGAAAAACAGAAGTTAAAATGGATCTTCAATCTTTTTAATTCTGGAATATAGAAAGGTCTGGAAAAGTCTATGAAGCAAGAGTTTTCACCCTTTTCAGGTGGCATTTAAGATGCCTCAGTAGTTGCAAGGCAGCTTGGTGCAGCTTTCTGTTTCCCAAAATTAGGATAAAGGAGTGGCCTGAAGGAAAAAGAGTGACTGCTAGCGTGACAGCAAAACCATCTTGAATTTTCTGCGACACATGGAAAGTCCATCCTGTTAACACAGAGGAAGAAAAGTGAACCATGAAGAGAAGGAGGAACAATGTTATCATTTTCATGGCCCGTTTATGGGCCACAGTGCTGGGGTCCCTGGGTCTGGAGATGAGTTCCAGCTTCCTGGTGTGTCTCATCAAGGAGAGAAATAAAAGGAGCAGTGAGATTACAGAAAGAAGAAAGGGGATTAACTGGATCAAACTGTCAGCCACCAAGCTCTTAGTACATAGCAATCTTACACCTGACAGCCAAGTTGAGTTTCTTAAGTAAGTGTCGCAAACATTCCAGCAGCCACTAAACTTATCTGTTAATGCCAGGTGGGCCATCAGGAAGGACAAAGACCCCAGCGGGAGTACCAACAGCACTGTGCTAATTCTCTGCTTCAGCCAGACAAAGCAGAGCTGGGAGAAATTGGCTATTTTAAAGAAGTAGAAAACACTTAGACAGGTAGCCGACCAGGTAGCGAGGTGATTGTTCAGAGTCCAAGCAATAGCCATACACGTGGCTAGTTTATCATCGCCATAGACATGTGGCCATAACACCATTACAAATGCATCAAGTACTATTATGGAGAGATGGCCGATTCGGGAGATAGCGAGCCCGGTGAGGATACAGTCCGCTAAAGAGAGCTTTTTACATTTCACCCAGTCCCTGCTGTTCACCGGCACAATAAAGCCTTTCCCCAGCATTCCAATCACAAATTCTCCTATTGCCACCACCAGAAAAGTAGTTTCCATTTCAGATGGCATTTCTGTAGAAAGAACCCAGAAAGCAAACACTCTCTTCTGAGATTTTGCCGACAAAATACTGTAGAATAATGAGTTTGATACTTTACACTTTCGTGCTGACAACGCTGAGATTCAGATATGAAAAAGATTAGATTAATCCCAACAGTCTGAAATATTTGACCAGGCTTCACAGATCTTCGTGAAAATTGTATTCTTCTCAATCCATTACTGGTTCCCAAGGTAAGCAGTGAATGCATCCATCATGCGTGCTAGCTGTGAGTTCCACTTGTGAGGGTCTGCGGAAGAAGGTCAGGTGTGCACGCATGCAAATTGAGGCCAATTTCCTTACCCTGATTGTACTTTCCTTTTCAATGGAAATCCAATACAGTTTGGATTCAAATTTCTTCATTTTAAAACCATCCTCTAAAAGTAAGCTCTAGACTGCAGTCATTATTCATAAATTCCATGTGTGTAAAAAAGGAAAAATGTGTAAGAAAGAGAAGCAGCATCAAGGAGTTCAGACAGTTGTTGAAAAAGTAACATCCAATAGACGATTACTACTGAATGTGAGAAAAACTGAACCTCAATGCAACTTGAACACATGAAGTTGCTACAAAATTTATTATCCATAGTTCTAATTTCATGATTTGGGTTT